TATTACGGATTGTCCATTCGAAGAAACGTTAATAGTGCGAAAGACATGAAAGATGCGATCATGGCCACTTACTATCACATGTGCTCTACAGATGATAAACCAAGACACGAGTACTGTCCATCTGGTTCCGATAGCTGGTGCAAGTGGCGCAAAGCTGAAGCATTAGGGGAAAACCCCAAATACATAGGGGATCCAGCTCCATTACATCCTGATGTTCAAACTCATATTAAGCCGATTTTTGAGGATTTATCTCGGGATGACTTGCTTGAAAGATGTTTAGATGGTCACACTCAGAATGCAAATGAATGTTATAATCCTACTGTCTGGCGACTCTGTCCAAAACATCTGAACTCTGGACTGAAGATCGTAGAAATTAGTGCTTTTATATCTGCAGGGTTGTTCAATGATGGATTTAACTTTATCTTACGAGTTATGAACTCAATGCAAATAGTTATTGGCCGCCAATGCATGTCGTACAGAGAAAAAATCGATGATCAAAGGGTGAGTCGAGAAAATCGCCGCAGCTCTTTGACGACCAAACAAGCTCGTCAAGCATGTCTACAGGAACTTACAAAGAAAAACGAATTTTATGAACGTACCGAAGGACTTCTATATGGCCCTGGAATCGCTGATTAATCGGTAAGCCACTGTAATCATACTGTTTCTGTGTGTCAAAACTTTAAACGCGTTTTTCTCGAAACGACTTTTTTGAAATTTGCGGGCGGGATAACTCAAAAAGTTCTCAACCGATTCTAATGAAATTTTTTACATGTGTACTTTATAGTAATAGCTTCTAGTTAAACCTCAAAAATTCCAAAAAAATTTTCAAAAATTAATCCTTTTTACCAAAAAACCATTGAAAAAAAGGGTAAAAAATCGAACTTTTTTTTTTTCTGAGGTGTGCCAATTTACGATTTTTTGACTTTTTTTGATTTTTTGTGGTTTAACTAGAAGATATATGTTTTATGAACACGTACAAACTAATTTTTTTAATTTCAGATCACCGTACGAGAAATGAGAACGCCCGCAAACTGATGTCTTTTTCTGAGAGGGTCTCGGCAGATTCATTTTTACGGCGGCCATTTTGAAAAAAAAAATAAAAAAAAAATTTTTTTCTGTACTTGAATATGTAATAAATAACCCCACAAAATTTTAAAATGATTCAGTTATTCCTTCCCAGTTTATAAAGTCCTCAAAAAACGGTAAAAATTAAGGCGTTTACATGTATCGCCGGCCTTAACTATCTCGAGTTTACATTGTACGAAACTCAACACGGGTATGCCAACGTTAAATTCCCAATTTAATTTTATGCTGAGTGATTTTTGTACGGTGAATATGACAAGATACTTTACTCGTTACGGCTCGTAATTGTAACGAGAGTTCTTGAATTCACCAAATAATTAAAGTGTCTCATTATATTATATTTAATTATTAATAAATATAATTGTGACAAGTAATTCAATTAAATTTTAGGAATTTGAAATAATTGTACACCGAGAGGTTTTAAAATATTTTAATATTTATTTTTGATACCAATTGAGGATATATTTTATTGTCTGAAGAACTAGTTGAAGTGATCAACTTTATTTAGAAAAAAAAAGTCTAACTAAAAATATCATTTTAAAAAAATTTGATCATCTTGAAACAAGCAGAAAAATTTTCCTGAATTAAAAACAATTTTTTAGTTTAAAAATTTTTATTCTTAATTAAAAATTTTTTAAATGTTACCGCTAATATTTAAGAAATTAAAAAAATATTTTTGGTCTAAAATAATTTGTCTCACTTCATAAAATTACTCAAAAAAATTTAACTTATTAAAAATTAAATTCCCTAAAAAAATTATCTCTCTTGATTTTTTTGTATCTCCATTATTTCACCTGTAATTAAAACTTCAAACCTTAGAAATTCATATTTCATTCACACTGTAATTTTTTTTCACATTCATCGTAATAATTGATAATTTTTCACAGTAAAATATAAAAAATTAATTGGTTACAATAGAGCAGAAAATATTAATCTATGAATAATAAAATCCTTCATATATTTATAGCTTTGTACTAGAAAATATGACCTATCAAATATAACATATATTAAAAAATTAAAACTCGATACATTAATTAAAACTTCAGACTTCGATTGGATTGTAGTAAAATATTCTCTCTTACTCTCATGTAAAATGTATGAACGATAGTTTTATTTAATATTAAATAATATCTATTATTAATATTGACTTGTCTGCAGTTTCATTTTTCGGGTGAACTAAATCTCAATTATCCAATATAGTCAACTACAAAAATGTTAAAAAATACTTATTTAAAAATTTTCCTTCATTCTAACAATTTTTAATGTGTTATCTTTTATTTCATAATTAAATTTTTTTCAAAAGGCTCATTTTTTATTGAATAATTTATAAGATAAATTAAACTATTAAAAATCGGGTTCTTTTTTAAGCTATCAGTAGTAATTCTCCTTAAAGACGATGATGAGCCAAATCTATAATTTCATCTATATAACACAAAGAATAAAATAAAAACAGGACTTAGAAATATTTAATAAAATAATAATTAGAGTTCTTTGGGCGTAACCTGGCTTCGGGTTATTAGTGGTTGGTATGTGCTCATCAAAAAGTATCTCTAAATAGAAAGCAATCCATGCATTTGTCTGCTTATGAATATCTAATATAATAATAAAAAATAATAACAACAATAAAAATAAAAAATAAATAAATATGTGGGCTCGTTAATCTCCCGTTAAGTTAAAGAAGTAAAGAAGTAAAAGGGTTTCAGGCTTGCCAGCAACAAACACCAGGCAAATGATCAGCAGCTGCCGGCTTAGTTAGTTTCCTATAGATCTATCTGGTAGAATTAATATCGAGCCGAAGATTTAAAAAATAGTTCGGTTGGTGGATAGACGTCAAAATCGTAACTCGAGACTGCCTCAAGAGAGGAAAGCGTTGGTGGACGCCAAAAAAATGGCAGATGGCCCGTACCTTCTTCTTCTTCTTCTGCTTTAAAGGTGCGTCGAGCCTCGATCCAGGTATAACATATATTTTAATATACATAGTGTGTTATATAGTATAGTGTACACTACACATTATAATACGAGCAGTAGATCGGAAGCCGGTGATCGGCAATAGTGAGACTACGAGAATTAAAAAGTAAAAAAAGCTGAAAGTAATATAATGCGAAGAGAAGAAGGAGAAAAAAGAAGAAAAAGACAACGAAATAAGCACCTGCTCAGATAAGATACGAGCCCTTGAAGGCGCGGTGAGCTGGAAATATTTAAAAAGATGCTACGGCGTATTCCAGCAAAGTAAAGTAAAGCCCTCAGTATTTTTTCGCCGTCTCATCAGGTTAAAAATCCACAAGACCGGAATATTCTCAAGTTAAATGGTTGCAGATCGCCGAGTGGAGAATCGAGTGGAACCAGTATGCTGTATAGCGTGGACGAGTTGAGCGTACATAAAACTCCTCTCGAGCTTGGGCCAACCGGCTCTTCTCTTCTCTTCTCTGCGTGGCAGGACGTCCAGCCTTTAATACTTCGAGCCAGAAAGAAAATTGCCTCGTATCGCGCGGAAGGCCATCAAGGCCCCAATCATACAGCTTTTTTTCTTTTTGTTCTCGAGCTGCTATCGACCTCCGATGCACACCATATGTCGGCTTAACAGCGCCGAATTATTTCTCTTCAACCCTTGTTTTATTTCCTTTTTTTTATTCGTCTCTATATGTCTGTTTGTATGTGTGTGTGTAAGTATACTTGGAGAACAAATATGTAATCTCCACAGGTTATTTACGAGAGCAATCATGTGTGAATTGTTTATTATTTTTGAATTTCGGGGATTATTGACTGTTAATTCGACTGAAAATTGTTGTTAAAGTTTTTTGAAATACTGAAAATTCAGTTTTGTTAGTTAAATTTATCTTTAATTTTTCAGCACTTTCTTTATTAACTTTATTTAACTTGTTACTCAAACGATTAACTTTAATTCTGCTTTAACTTTTGAAATTTTAATAAAATATTTAAATTACTTTTATGAGTAGTAAATTTATCTTCGAAGAATTTCTGTATTTTAATTTTGTAGAATACCTGCCTTAGCTCATAGAAAAATCTGTGTACAATAGTATATTTTTTGTGATATTTATATTAAATTTATAAAAATATATATCAGCACCGATATACATAGGAAGAAAAAAAAATGCGTGGGAGAACGAATTTTCTTATCTAAAAAAATTTGTTCTCACTCCAAAATAATTCAATTAAATTTTGTTTTTACATGATATATTTCAATTTATAAATAGAATAATAATTATCGTTGAGTTTTTTAATTTCCATTACATCATTTTTGGTTCAATGACTTCAATTTCGAAGTATAAATTTAGTCTTTTGAATTAATGTACGAATTCTGCTGCTCTATTTCGAATAAATCCGGATTTAATTAATGGTTGATTGATCTTAAATTAGCATCTACTGATTAAATAATTTAAATTACACAATATTCATCTGTAAAACATTAATTACAAATTTTAATGATATTACATTGGGAAAAATCAATAATTAATTCGGAGTGTATATGAATTTTAATCCGAAAAACATACGATTTTTTTATTGAAATTAATTAATTGTAATTTTTAGGATTTCTCAACAAAAAAAATTTTGATATATCATAAGAGAGTTTATCAAACCAATGGTATTTGTAGAAATTAAATGTTGATGTAATTTTTTTTTTTTAATTGAAATTTATTTGTAATATCAAACGATAAGGAAAAAAATTATATTAATTTTGAAAATTTCTCAATAGGCATTTCGTAACTTTCAAACGAATAACAACTTTTTATTTTTGATTAATAAAAAAAAATGAAGAATTTTGTGGAAATTAAACTTCATGCTTTCCGCCAATTTTTTTACAGTGGATATTGACTAATTTTACAGAAATTTATCATTACTTTTATATACATAAATTCTTCTAAAGTACACATCAAATAAATTTACTTTTCAAAAATTTAATCAACGATCATATCAGCAAACCAAGCGAGTGGCGAGTACATTCCGTTTCTTCATACAATATAAATATATCCAAACAGACGGTGAAATAGCCATGCACGTATGCTAGCAGCAATATAAAATATAAAATATAAAAAATATATATATATATATATATATATATATATATATATATATATATATA